CCTGAGCTTAGCCATGCGTTAGCTTAACTCAGTCATCACAACAATGGGAACTAAAGGAAGTCTTGTTTAAAAGACAGAAGTTGGCAAGAAACCCAAAAGGCATATAGCATCTACTGTTACCCTGGATAACCTAAAATGTCTCCGGCTGTAAACTGTCAACTGGCATTTATATATTATAATCAAGTTCTCTGATGGTGAATTTGCATATAATAAGTGCTTCTTTGCACAGCTACATTTGTCAGTAACCATCTCATGGGAACATTAAGAAACATAAACCACAAACTTAAATCAAATTACAGAGGTTTTAAAATAATGTGTGAACTAATTATATTTTGAAGGTCATTTATTTGTACACTTTTTTACCAATTTTAAATATGTTTTGAATTTCAAATTTGTTTTTTTTTTATCTATAAATAAAAGTTGTATCTTGTTTAACTTAAATTTAATAAATCTTAAATCTGATTTCATTGATGTTAACATTGGGTGATTCAGTCAAGGCTTCTGTAATTATAGATATTAAAATAGAGAACATGCTTTTGTGAATCTGGGTGCTATGTGATTTGATTATTTTGTGTCAAAAGAATACAAACAACAATTTTAAAATTTGAAGTCAAGCAACAAGACTAAAGGAAACTAATACAATATCAAATAATTAGTCACAGTTACCATTAAAGATGTTATAAGAATGTATCTTACTTTTAACTAATTTTTCTTTAATCTAATTTAATTATTTTTAAATATATTTAATATTCTAGAGATATTCTTTTATGCCATGTTTACCAATATATGTTTTCATTTCTAATCATTAATTATAAATGTCCAATTCTTATTATCTTTTTATACAAATTCTGATCTATTAACTTCCCTTTGTAATTAACAGAGAAGGAGTTTCAACGGTGATTAATTTCACTTTTTATAATCGTAGTTCATGCTTTCAAGACTGATTATGTTTCTTTTAACTTTTGTGTTCTAAAATTGAATAATCAAAATTGATTAATAAATAACATAGTTATACATCACCCCTTAAATAATTATCTCATGATTCTATGACCAAACAAATGAAGTTCCTTTGACAATAATATAATTAAATAACTAAAGGAATGTTAATCAACTTAAATGATTCCCTTAAGAGCCAATCAGGAATGGAGTTTTCATTATATTTACATTTGTAAATACATTTAAAAGAATAATACCAAACTGAGACAACTTGTTTAGCTATAATTTTCAAACAAATTTTTTTTTTTGAAATTTACTTTGTAATTAAAATTACTAAAGACAACATTATGATTAGGGGGAAGAGCTGGAATTTTGAGGGAGAGCTAGCTAGAGAAATGAATTGATATGAGGTGAAACTACTAGCAATTTTCATTGTGGAGCACGTAAGAGGAGGGGGAAGAATATTTTTCTTGGGTCTTGGGTCGCCAATGCTCTCCGACCTATCAATACGCCAAAAAGTTGAGCTATACTTTTTTTAAATTGCAAAGCTAGCAGAATACGTAGCATGCTACTTCTAAAAAGACTGACATGTGACTATAAAATACTTGAGGATAAATACATAAAATGTATTAAATCAAGGCAGCTAATATCACTTACTTCAACATTTATCTAATGATTACTCTCTTCAGTGAAACCCAATGACAAAGATCTTCAGAAATCCATGTCAGAACTTAAGATAAAGTAGAATATCATTCAAATATATAT